ATTGCAGAAGGGCGTTCAAGCCCACCGCTTGCGACGGAAACGAGAGCTTGTACGGCGCTCGAGGGCTAGCCGACCTGACCACCGATGGCCAAATCGTGCCCCCCACGGGGCAAGAAACCGATGCAGAGCTGAGCTTGGCTGTAGCTCGCACACAGCATCTAAGTCGCAAAAGGCAAGATCGGGATGGAATTTACACGCATCCACCTGGTGCCAGACCTACCGACCCGGTGTGGTTGATCCGCACCGCGGCGCCCTCGGACGAGCGAGAGGACCCAAGTGCTGAGCCAGTGGGCGATGTCAATCTGCTCGCAAGCCCTCAACGGATCGAGCATTACAAGAAATTTGGTCGCGCAACTGGCTCGCAGGCGCAAGAGCTCTTCCCAACAAGGGCTTCCCGCCAGCCTTCCTTGGAGGCCGGAAAGACGCTTGAGGAGCGTCAGTCGTGGATTTCAAAACATTCTTCCTCAGCGTCGCATGTTTTTTGGAGGCAAGTAGTCACTTGTTGCCCCGGCTGCGGTAAAGAGGGAGTTCGAGTTGGTTCGACCTTCCGCGCACCGTCGAAGAAAGATGCCAAAGCGTGGGAGAGTATGCGCCGTTCAACGTTGGAGCAGGGCAACCGCTGGGACTTTTGCAAGACAAATGGCCAAGTGAAAGACTACAACGAGCTGGCAGGTCTGTTGCAGGCAAGGTGGGACAAGCAAGAGGGTGGAGGACGAGTGAGATGCAAAGATCGAGATCGAGAAAGGGTACTGCGCAACGAGTTGGGCTTGAGCGATTGCGACATCAACATCAGCAAATTCGCGCCCAAACTTTGCTTAGGACCTGATGGGCGCTGGGGGAGCATACCGCCAGGGACTTTCTGTGACGATCGTTGGATCTCGTCAAGTGGCGAGAACTTGCTACGCTGAGTCGTGCATCTGCTCGCGTCGCGGCCTCAGCACGACCACGCCGCCGCGCTACAAGACCACTCGCTCAAACGTCGCGATCTTACAAGTTGCGCGAGCCTCAACGTTGTCCAGCCAGCGGGAGCGGGCGTCCTTGGCCGGATCCACCGATGTAGGGGGCGGAGATCTTGTGGAACGCAGCACTTCGATACGTGTTTGGATCTTCTGGATCGAAAGAGCTCGGATCAGCTCCTCGCTGGTTTCGCCTTCGCAGTCAAGCCCAAGTCGTTCAGACGCCGCACTCAGCGCCACCTGTGGTACGGTGAACGACTGCAAACGCTCCTGCTCCGCTGTGTCCTCTTCATCCCGGCGAATGAAGACCTCGAAGCAGCACAAAGGCAACCCGCCCAGGTTGTTGCCGACAGAGCCTTCTTCCCACTGCGCCTCTGATTCTTTGTACCTGCTGTAATGTTGAACGTCGAGCCTGCAGTCGAATCCTGTGGAGTCTGACTTGAGTGCATACACGACTGGATAGTCCAAGAGCCAACCAGCCAAAGCTACCCCTGCCGAAGGCGCATGTCCAGAGAGCGAAAGGACGTGACCAGACAGAATCGCAGTAGATCGTCGGCAAGCTTCGCTAAGCAATTGGATGCATTTGAGGCTCTCGATCGCCAATGATGGGTGCTATCAAGATACGAGGGTACTGGGCCAGGTCAGATGCTATCGCTTCCGCACTTACGCCGCCCGTCACGCCGCCACTGACCAGGATGGTGCCTGCAGGAGAGTTCCAAGATGCGTCCATGACGCATGCCGGAGGGCAGGCGAGTTTGGCTACAGCCGCAACGTTTAGCACTCCGAAAGAGCCACTCGGGCCATGAATCCAGACCCTGAGTCCAGAAGCTCCATCCTGCGTTTCGAGGCTCTCGAGCGCTTGCGCCAACGGGACTGGCGCGACGCTACCGTCGTCGATGAGCTGCGACGGTTTGATACCGTCGGCGACGAAGGAGAGCGCCCGCGCTAGCTGTCTTATTCGACCACGCTTGCTGCGAGGGTGATGCTCGATGAGCTTCTGCAGGATGGCATCGTGCGTGGAGGTGATCATCTCCTGGGCTCCGTCCGCATTTTGAGAGCGCAAGCGAGCAGACCGAGCTTTGCCGTGGTTCGAGATGTTTAGGGAGATGGTGGGAGAGGTACGATGTGCAGTGGCCGCATACAGTTCAGTGTGGGCTAATCATGGCTGGCGTGGCGCCGGCGCGAGAGATGCGGCGCGCGTTACGCATGGGACACTCAAAATTGTCAAGCATTCACAATTTTAATCGCTGAATTGATAGCTTAACAGAATACTCGCTCACAAACACCAAAAAGATTGGACAGCGTGAGCACGCGTACGATGAGAAAAGACACACGGAGACAGACTGATGGATGCTAAGAAGGCATATAGAAGTACACGTGTGGGAGTTGAGACGGATACAAACGCTGAAGTGCATGGGTGTTTGTGCGTGTGAGGCCCCCCCCCAAAGGGCAAGGTTATCGGTTTGATGACGGTAGACAATCTCAATCTCCTCTTAGGCACCGAAACCGTCTATCGAGAAGGAAAGTACAGAGTAGCAGCGGTCAGCACGGATCCTTAGACTGCACGCCGAGACATCATCAAAGCTAGTAGTCATACTCACAAAGAACACGGCCTTGGCGCTTGAGAGCGTAGACGACGTCGAGAGAAGTGACAGTCTTGCGCTTGGCGTGCTCCGTGTAGGTGACAGAGTCGCGGATCACACCCTCGAGGAAGATCTTCAGGCATCCTCGGACCTCGTCGTAAATGAGACCAGAGATACGCTTGACACCACCACGACGCGCAAGACGACGGATAGCGGGCTTGGTGATACCTTGGATGTTGTCTCGCAAGATCTGAAAGGAGCGATGATTGGAAGAACATGTGTAAGCTCGAGTCTCGCCGGTGTTAAGATGTGCCAACGCAACTACTGAGCAAACAGTAACGATGCTCACCTTGCGGTGACGCTTGGCACCACCCTTTCCGAGACCTTTGCCACCCTTTCCGCGACCAGACATGTTTGCTAAGAGTTTGTTGGGTTGGGTGGAGTGTTGCGTTGAGTTGTGTTGAGCTTTGCAGCTGAGTTGCGTTGTGATGCTAAGTGAGGGGAAAGAGTTGGCTGATGCATCTCGACCGGTCTCCTTTTGAATACCTCGCCGCTCTTCCCACTGCTTAGCGTCTAATTACGTGCGGCGCATCCCTGTCACGGGGGGGCCGCTCGTGCTCGTGAACGAGTGACGATGCATCCACGACGAACGGTGCTCGGCCACATATGCGGGGCGCCACACCATCCGAAGATGTTTGGCCACCGATTCCTGCACGACGCGAGCGAATGAGTGGCCCAATGAGAAAAGAATGTCGCACAGAGCTCAGCAGGCGCGCACGGAAACGCGGGTCGCGCACGCATGCTTGCTTGCATTGACGCGCTTCGTGCGGTTGGGCCACCGCTCATGCGGACAAAGCTGTGGCCCAACAGCACGCAACGCGCGCATCGCGACGCGTGTGCAAGCGCGCCTCCACCTCTGCTGAGCGCGTGTAAAGTGTTGGACTTTTTGCATCGCGTTGTGGCCCAAGAGCACGACGGGCAGCCTAAGCACGCAGCAGGTGTGGCTGGGCCACAAGGCTTGCACTCGGCCAGCGTTGCACCTTGCAAGCGATGCCCGTCGCTCATCAACACTCGTGAGTCGTGACTGCTCGCCTGCTTCATCAAGCTCTTTCCGGCCGAACCGCGCTAGGGAGGCGCCGCGCATCGTGGCTTCGCACCCACGCTGTTCACAAAATGCCCCGCCAGGCCTTTGGCGAAACAGA